ATTCCCATAGACGCCGAACAGCAGTGAGTGAATAGCCGAATGCTAGAAAAATAGAAAATGATTGGGCGAAGCTAGCAGTGACAGCTAGCTCCGCACAACTGTTTTCTATTGGCTGAGCGGTTCTGCTGCCATCAGAATAAATAATTTTTAAAAATCACCGTAGGAATGCATAGCTAGATTGCTATTGGCTATTTCACTTTGCAATAGCCAATAGCAAACTAGCTATTGCACCCGCCCTCTGCTGCTGTCAATCACTAGAGGGGACCTGATGGAGAACTGCAGGTCCCCTCTGCTGATTGACAGCAGCAGTGGGCGGGTACAATAGCTAGTTTGCTATTGGCTATTGCAAATTGAAATAGGCAATGGGAATCTAGCTATTCATTCCTATGGTGATTTTATTTATTTTTTTATTCTGACGGCAGCCAACGGCTCCGATGTCAGAAGAAAGAAAAAAGAAACAGAGCAGGGAAAGGTTTACTCTGCTCGATCGAGTGTTTCTCACCCGGCCGGCCGGGAGCGACTATCTAATAGCGGGAGACTCCCGGAGCGCCCGGGAGAGTTGGGCTGTCTGGAGATCAGTTACCGGGTAACCAGGGACGCTGATCTGTCTGTGCAAGTGGCCGGAGCCGGCCGTTTGGCCAGCTTCGGCTTTCACCTCGGCTCAGCCGAGCCGAAGCATATTCCTTCGGCTCGACTAAGCCGGTCGGCTGACTTTGTGAGCTGTACGGGTTATAGTGAATAGCCCATACAGCAGCCCTTCAGTTCTACTGAACCGAAGGGGTCCTGGGGCCGAAGCTAGCCGAAGGATCAGCTGAAGCTACGACTAGATCCTTCGGCAGCTTAGTGAATAGACCCCTAGATTTCTGCACGAACGTTTGTACGATAAAGATCATTCTTTACGACTCAATAATGCCATAAGAAACTTGGCGAATGTCAATAGAAATTTCGTTTTGATTTTAACATTCGATTTTGGAATGAATGGAGTTGAACGAAAGAAATAGAAAGTTGAACAAAAGATCTTATGTACGAAAGTTCTTTCAAAAATGTCAGCAGTGAATGGCCAGCTAGTGACAGTGGCAATGTAAATTCATGCGCAGTCTTTTAAATATACAAAAACATGACATATCGACTAGTCTTAGCGGCAGCCAATAAATTGTGCCAACATCACCCTTTCATTCCTGATTTTGAAATGTCAGTAAACAGTAGTGCTGCACTTATGGAGAAGCTTCAGGTTCAGTTCAACCATGAGTTTGCTCCAAACCAAAGATGTTCACAGTTCAATAAACAGGAAAACGATTTGGCCGCTGTGTGGCTCACACACCGTCATTGGTTGCTAGTAGGGATGTCCCAATGCCACTTTTTTAAGACTAAGTAAAAGTACAAGTACTTTCCCTCAGGTACTATCCGATAACAATTACCGATACTTTTTCTTAAAGGTAAGTGACATTTTTTCTAAAACAATACAGACTAATGATTTTAAGGCAGTTTCTCACCAGAGCTGATGTCACCAAAAATGAATACATGTCCCTAGAGCAGAATACATGTCCCCATAGCAGAATACATCTCACCAGAGCAGAATACATGTCAACAAAGCAGAATACATGTCCCCACAGCAGAATACACGTCCCTAGAACAGAATTAATCTCACCAAGCTGCGTGCGAGCTCACCCGGGCGACATGTGGTTCGCTGCAGGGCTGTGCGGGCAGTTCCTATGCTTTGGAGAGTGCCAGTGTCCGGGGCTGTACTGTGCTTTGTGAGGCTGTCCATGACTGTGCCTTCGCAGCGAAAGAGGAGGAGATATAGAACCAGACAGGCACTGCTATGGACAGCTAATTGCAGGTCCCCAGCAGGCTGCCAAGGTCCTCTCAAGGGTCGGTATAGGCCTTAAGAATCGGAGCATTTTCACGAGTACAGGTACTCATGAAAATGCCTTGTATCTGGACATCCCTAGTTGCAAGGACATATGGTCTGGATTTGGTTCTCTTGGACATTTGACAGACCAGGATCCCTGGCTGGGTTCAGGGAACGTTCAAGCCAACTGAACCCGGCCAGTTCATTCATCACTCGTTGCAATCAGGATCTTGGATCCTCCATTCAACTACTAATCTAGTAAAAACATTTATTCGCTTTCGATTGACAGTAAACAAGAAGGGAGCTGTGTGCAGGTCTAAAGCTGACCATACAGTCATACAGAACCATACAGAAGGTTCTTTAATTGAACAATACATTGCATATCACCAGCACATCAAGATGTTCCTTAATTGGACTTTACTGTAAAATCACCACCAGTAGCAACATTCAACCTTTCGGGGTCATACAGGTTCCCCTTCATCACTGGCTGCCTGACAAAGGGAACCCTGTATGAGCACAAACCACTGAACATTTCTTTTTATGATGAGAAGAAGCCAAATTTAAGTGTATCAAAGTCCTTATGTCATTTTATTTTGCTCTTCAGGCTTGCAGTAATTGGCAACAAAAAAGAATAACATTGAATTTAGCCTCTGGCACTTCCTGCATATGGGTGACAATGCTTCCTTTGTATGTCCTGCATGTAGTAGGAGGCTTGTCACCCTAAATGTGCATGTGAGTGGTGAACTACAATAGGACGCGCCAATGCATAGTGCACTAGCATGTCCAACATCATCTTGTGCCAAGATCCTTAAACACCTCCCTTTGTACCACACAGTCCCCCTCAATGTTGTATCCCTCAGACATGTCATCATTTTTTTGCCCGTTTCTGAACTTGTTCTATCTCATCAGGATCTTTTTAGTTCAATCAGATGTTATTAAAGATTTTATATAAACAAAAATGTAAAAGGTGTAAATGGACAACATATTAAAGAATACATAGACAAGAATACACAAGTAAAAGTACACAGGAATCCACATGTAGTTCAACTCAACAAGAATCCTTAAATACCCAAGGCATTTGGCAAATTGGAGCAATTCAATAGCTCAAAATCAATGGGCCCAGAGAAAATTCCACCCGAGAGTATCGGGAATCTACCTTCTAAGAGAATAGTGAGGTAAAAGGCCAATCCGGGGGCTTGTGGAAAGTAATCCCTAATCAACGACCGCAGTGGATTATAAGACGTGTATATAAAAAAGGCAATAAAGCAAAAAGTGAAGAATGCCAAATAGGAAATAAGTCAGAGAAGATGGCAAGAAAATGAAACCGGAAGAAAGCTGGTTATCCCTCTAGTGATAACTAAAGATCTATATAGAGGAATCAGGACCTCCTTCCTCCAGCTGATGATCCCTCTACTGATAACTCTACTAATAAGTACAAATCTAGTCAAGACCTGGGACTACCTGAGGGGAGTGATTCGGCATTGGGGCTTTGGACAATCATTTCTGGGTTGGATGGACTCCCTATACTCTACTCCTTCAGCGTATGTGCAATACCAGGGTTTCAGATCGGAGACGTTTCCGATATCCAGGGGGACCAGGCAGGGGTGTCCTCTCTCCCCCCTCCTGTTCGCCCTGGCGATTGAGCCATTGGCCCAAGCTATTAGATCTCATAATGACATCCAAGGCATAGAAGTTGGCAGGGTACCATCATAAGATTAGCCTCCAGAGGATTGGCTTAACCACCCCTTTTAAAGATATACGATAGCCGTTGACTAAGTCACGGTTACACGGTTTAATGTTTATGTTTGATATGTCTGTACTGATGCACAACAATGTTTGCTTTCCATGTACATCTGACTTTATTAAGCTGTACGTACAGCTTTTGGACTTTTGTTTAAGATATTTACGTTTGTAGAAGTTTCAAAATCAAAATTAATAAAAATTGATTAAACAAAAAAAAAAAAATCTAGTCAAGACCTCTTTCCTCCTTCTAGGGACTCCTCTGGTGATAATTAAAGGTCTGGTGATCCATATAAGGGAATTAAGACCACCTTCCTCCTGCTGGTGATCCCTATACTGATAACTAAAGATCTATATAGAGGAATCAGGATCTAGTGATAACTAAATATCTATATATGGGAACCAGGACCTCATTCACCCTGCTGGCGATCCCTCTACTGATAACTGTACTAATAAGTAAAAATCTATAGAGGAGAGTCAAGACCTATTCATCTTGCTGGGCACCCCTCTGGTGATAATTAAAGATCTATATAGTGGAATCAGGACCTCCTTCCTCCTGCTGGTGTATTTCCTCTAGTGATAACTAAAGATCTATATAGGGGAATCAGGACCTCCTTCCTCCTGCTGGTGATCCCTCTAGTGATGCTCCCCAGAATTCTATACACTTCCCCCGCAGCCTGGTCACACTGTTTGCTCATCAAATCTGTTTCCTCTATAGTTCTGGCCACAATTGTACCCCTAATATTGTACGCTATCAAAGGATTCTTTTTCTTATTATTTTGCATTTAGAAATATTGAACTGCTTTGGCCAATCTTCCAGCAATGCCAAATCCCGTTCCCGATAACAAACAGCTCCAGGAATATCAACCCTACTGCACACTTTTGTGTCATCAGAAGACAAACCTTACCCACCAAACCTTCTGTTATGTCCCTTACAAACAGATTCAACAGAACAGGACCCAGTACAGAGCCGTGTGGTTCACCGCTAATGACTGGTCTCTGTTTCGATTCATCCCCATTTACAACCACACTCTGATATCTATACATTAGCCAACTGCGTATCCACTGAACCAGCCAAGAGTTAAGTCATAGCATGCGAGATCATTATGTGGAACTGTATCAAATGCCTTGCTGAAATCAAGCTATGTCTATGGCTATGTCCGCAGTACCACCCTGGTCCACAACATTTGTGATATAGCCAAAAAATTCAATCAGATTAGTCAGAAATTATCTTCCCCCAGTACAGAAATGCTGCTTTGGGTCCATCAAGCTGTGTTTTTGAATGATCAGTAGTCCTTCTTCAAGTACGCTAGCACGGTGCTGCCTCCCCTGTACTGCATCTGCCGTATAAACTCCAGGCAGGACACAGCTGAATGCCTTTTAGTTCTTAGATAAGAAGTATTGTTACCTTAACTTGAAGCGACTGTTTTTGGAAATAGACCCGGCAAGCTTTCTCCATCCTCTGTCGCTGGTCTGGTCTAGCAGCTCGCAGACTTTCTGGAGTATGGGCTCTTGTAATAAATTAATATTAAGTGAATAAAACTGCTGAGTGTCGGACATCTCTGTGCACAAACACTCAGGTAGTTCATTAGCTTATTTCCTTAAAGTTCCTTCCTGCTTTATGTGTTTTTTACATACGCTCGGATTTTACTGCCATACGCCATCTTCTGGAGACACCGAGCTGTTGCTTTCACTTGGTTCTGTGACCTGTTAAAGTGAAAGAGAATCTGCAAAAGTTCAGGGAAGTCCTTTTCTTGTTCAATGGGGGCAGCCGGAGTTGTTTCCCCTGATCTCCTCTATGCATGAATTGTGACTCATCCCTAAGAGTCTTCTATTATTAATATTATCAGGGTTATTCACAAAAGGGTGAAGAGTTTGGGGAAGGAAGGAGAAGTGAACAATCTAGAACAACATGGCTGAACTGGAAAAATTATCCAGTTTAGTTCACTGTCCAGTTCAGCCATGTTGTCCTAGATTGTTCATTTCTCTGGCCTTCTCCAAACTCTTCATCCTTTTGTGAATAACCCTGTATATGTTTATGAAAAGTATTATTTCTTTTGTTTGTGCCAAGGATTGTACATTATAATTAGGGGTATATTCGAAGGGAATCAAAGTGGAAATATTATTACTTTAGCAGTCAAATTTGAGAAAACTCCTCTATATATTTGTTATGTTTTCCTATTCACGCAGGATACTGAAAAATGACTTACCTTTTAGATGTTTTGTTAAATCCGACAAGATGGCTGACTCCAGGTTTTCTCAGCCCTTTCACAGTGGTCTGTCCTAGCGGAAAGTCTTGGAACTGAAATTTGAGGATTGTATTTATCTGATAAGCTTTAGACATGTGCGATTCGTTTCGTTCCGAATCGATATTCGGACGAAATTTCGGAAATTCGGAGATTCGTATGTATCCGAATTACAGATATAACGAATGCAAACGAATCCGAATTTCCGATTCATTTTTTTGGGCGAACTTTCGTTTTTTGGACGAAATTTCGTTGCAGCAAAGTGACATTTGAGAACAAAAAAACGTTTTTTTCCTCTTAAATGTCTTTGCTGCATCGAACGAATGAAACAAAAACGTATTTCGTATGGATTACCGCTAACGAATTTGGTCCGACTCCGAATTCTGAAAAACAAAATAAAGCAAAATCCGAATCAAAACAATTTTTTTGCTGGTGCACATGTACAATAAGCTTCATTAACATACAATGGACAAGCCCCCTCAGAGCCCTCACCCCTCACAGCCCCTCTTAACGTTTCAAAGAAACAGGAAGAAATGTTAACCCTTAAAACCCTAACCCAAATAAAAGCAATTTAAACATTTTATTTGAATGGGCACTTGTGACAAACCTAAAATAGATGTTATCTCAATTTGGCTGCAAAAGTGGAAATACACTTTGAGAATAGTATATATCCATTCCAGTATGACAAAGTTTGAAGTGATATTAAAGTCAAAAGGTGTTTAAGCTATTTAAATGCTGATGAAATCACTTACAATGGATGCTGTTTCTTGATGTTTAAGGGCCCATCCACACCAAAAAGGTAAGTCTGTAGAGATACGTTGACTTGCAATTTCAACCTCAGTTGACTCCCATTGCATTCTGTTACGTGACTTTTAAAAAAATTTTTTTTTTACATCTTTTGTTAATCATTATTTTAACTGACATGTCCTGAGTGGACACATATGTAACATTATATATATATAATTTATTTTCTTGTGATCTATTCCGTTGCGCTGATCCCATTGCGCTGCGCCGTGAGATCACAGCTGACTCCACCCAGCCGTCATTTGCAAGGCATTTGGCTGTCACTTCAGCTCAGTCGGGCCGAAGCATATGCCTTCAGCTCAGCTGAGCTGCTCGGCCACCTTTGGGAGCTGTACGGGCTATAGTGAATAGCCTGTACAGCAGCCCTTCAGTTCAACTGAGCTGAAGGGCTCCTGCAACCGAAGCTAGCCGAAGGATTAGCCGAAGCTATGGCTGATCCTTCGGCTAGCTTTGGCTTTGTGAATAACCCCTATAATGTTTTCATGCTCATGGATGGGAATCAGATAAGGACTGACTCTAGCATGCAGAGAAAGGACATGTTGTATTACAGGTTATCATTATGTACATTTCCTGGAACAAAGGTTTCCTGGGAAAAAGGAAGAAAGAACAGGCCAGGGCTTTCCCCGGCATGAGGCCAGGTGGGAACCGTGTTAAACTCTCCAGGAATGTGTGTGGAGAGTGGAGCAGGTCACGCATGGTTTGAAAGTGAATTGTTCAGGTGTATGCCATCACTGACAGTCAGTGACAGTCAAACATACCAGTTTATGGAGAACTCTGCATTGTTTTATTAGTGACTGCGTCACTAATAAAAACATTTGCCGCATTTTCGTCATTGTTTTCGTCCCGCTCTAATATTTTGTTTTCGTCACTGGAAAAACATCCAAATGACGGGAAAAAAACCATTTAGTCTGTGAAAATAACACTGACATCCCCTCAAAGTATATAGGTTCCGGTAAACCCCCAGTTTCACGTAGCAGTTAGGGATAATAATAATGAGCAAAAAGGTAACCGATTAATCCAAAAAGTGCTTTTATTCACTACTACTGAAGCCAAAACTTTTAGTTTTGGATAGAGCAAGAGAGGGTTATAACCACTCTCAGCTTTTTTCGCCATCTGTGCCCCATTGTGGAGATTTCCCTTCACTCCCTGTCCAATCACCACAACAGGAAGTTGGAGGTTGGATCCCTGGCGGTCAGCAGGGTCACAGAACTAGAGTCCCCATTGGAGGATTTCCCATCTAAAGTATTCATGTTCTGGTGACAACCCAAAATTCAGGGTTTTTTTTTCACTTTCAATGTTTACAGTCACCAGGACACAGAGTGAATCTCCCTAACGTGGACACAGACAGCAATAAAAACCTGACCACTGTTCTAATCCCTCTCCACTCTAGGTTTTGGCTTCAGTTGAACTTTAACTTTAATATATTGTGTCACTGACCCTTATGCAGATCAGTATTGGAATTTCCTTATCTACCTACTGGTTTCAGGACAGCGACTCAATAAATGACAGGTTTCTTTAAATTACACTTCTGACACTTTGTATGACGCCAACCACATGAAAGTATAAAGAATTATACTGCCAGCTCATATCCGTAAAACAACGACCTGCCCTCAGCTTACTCGTAAAAACTGAAAACTGATCACTTTTACTGATAACAGTCACCACAAATGGAGAGCATGAATCTCCCTAACAGGGGCACAGACAGCAATACAAACCTTACAGGGGCTCTAATCACTCTCCATTCTTTTTCTCTGCATTGCTAGGGGTGACTGCAGACACATTATCAACAGAGCCTGATCTTGCAGGCTCCCTCTTATGCCCATCAGGATCTCCAGGGGTACCCCACAGCTCAGGGCATGTCACACACCCATGACCCCATCGGCCACATGCTGCACACGGTACTGCACGATCACATGCGTTTCCCTCCTGGGAATTCCTGGCAGGTTGAAACGCACCCCTAGCTTGAACAAAACGCTGCGCTGCATCTCCACTGCTGCTTTTCACTCCTGGTGGCAACCTTTTCCTGGTTGCTATGGGAGATGGCACTCTCCTATTAAACACTCCTTCGCTCTCCTGGTTGTACTGGATCCTCTTTCCAGGCATCCTTGCTCGGTTCCACTCCTCTGCAGGCGACCTCCATGGCATGCGGTCAGCAATCCTGCGTTAGACCTGCAGGCTGCATACAATGTTGCCGAGATCACTTGTAGAAAACAAGCGGCGGCTTCCCTGCTGTACATTTAGCTCTGCTTGCCCAAAGCAGGGCTAAATGTAGAAAACAACTACCGCCCGGGCATCGGGAGATATTAGTTCCACACCCCTGCTGCCTCTCTACTCCCTGCTGCCCCAAGGGGAAATCCGGCCCTGTTAATGATTATGACTTTGGAAGGGCTTTTGGGAAACCGCGGTGCTCTACACTGCCACAAGCAACCCAGCCGTGAAGGAAGGTTTCACTGACATTCCACTGTAATCCAACATACACATAAACTCACTTGACTCCAAAAAGAGGCACTTTTTATACACTATTCCAATATGATTAATATAACAACAAATACATACCAATCAGGTCTTCTAGGATAGGAGGGTTTAAGCGGAGGTGAACTCAAGGACAGCTGTACATAGGTAGACAGGACAAAGCAGAAAAGATGTAAGGAAAAGGCTCACCGTGACGGCTGTATTCTGCTATCTCACTGGCTCGTCCTATTGATGTGCGGCTACCACTTGCTTCACTCAGCTCCTGGCTACGTGCTCGCCAACGGTGTTCGTCGTAGACAGAATTAAATTTGATACAACACCCATCCTAGAAGAAAAAGGTTAGTATGTATTTGTTGTTATATTAATCATATTGGAATTTTCTGGTAAAAAGGTCCCATTACGTTTCAGGCCACCTTCCCCCCTTTTTCTTCATAAGAAGAAAAATATGCGGAGTAGTTATAGTGCATCTCGGGATTGTTACATTAGGAGGAGTCTGGACATAGACAAACATTTCATTTTGATATTTTCTAGCACTTGGTGGACTGAGTGTGGAACCAAAAATGATTAGTGAATGTACTAGAACTAAATGCACTATTCTCTTTGGTAAGAGAGCATATGCTGCTATAGCACACACAAATAGGGTTCCAAGGGTGTAGGGACAGGTTTATATTTGTCTCCATGTAGTTATGTAAGGATAATGTAGCATGTCCTAATAATTCATTATAGACTAAAACAAAGGGAAGATAATAACTGGGCAACCCGAGAGTGGGTGCCTCTGCCAGCATATTAACTATTTCCTCCATTAGTTCCATCAGAGCAACAAAGATAATTTCTGGTAGTAGCTTAAAACAAAGGAGCTAAAAGACCGGCGACGAATCTAGACCTATAACATCGCATTTATCAGAAGCCCATAATTAATTTTGGTATTTCCCTATTGTCCCTACTGCTAGCAAGCAGTGGATACATGCAAAAAGTAAAAAAAACACGCTTTAAAAGCGGTTTAAACTTACCCCTGTCTTTGCCGCGCGCTCCCGTCCGAAAATCCGATAATG